ACAGGACCACTTCAAGGAGGGCCTCAATCCTACACCCCTGCTCCCAAACACCTAGGGATCCTGTGAACGGCCACCTCTGGTGGGCTGAACACAGAGCTGAGGCTGGGGAGGGTCACCAACATACCACAGGGCAGCACGGGTCACAGCGCGAGCTCCACAGCACCCAGCGCCCACAGAACACGCCGCCTTCGGGCAGCAGAGCTGGTGAGCAAGTCAGAGTAAGAGAAGCAGGCCCGCAGCATGGGGGTCACGTCTGGACATGGCTCACGGTGACAAAACTTACGGTCGCCTGCAGAGATGTGGTTCCCGTGTACACGCATACATGCATCAAGATGGGAGGAAAAGGCTTACAAATCACATAACCAAGTCTCTGGGGACGGCAGGGCTGGCCCCTCAAGCAGCTCTGAAACGGCTTCAGAAACCAATGGAAAGAATCTGGTTTGGTGTTCCCCGGAGCTGGGAGGTGGGGCCGCGGCAAGAATTCTCGCACAGGGGTGGGGGCCTCCGTGATTGGAATCTCTTGCCATCTCTAGAGACACCCCCCAGACTTTCTCATCAGCTTGACCAAGTTGGGGGCATAAGAGAAAGAGGGGAGGAGGAGGCTTAAACCGTGAGCAGCCAAACACCCAAAGATGTGCAATCTTACTGCTCATTACAAGGAGGAAAACGTGGGGAAGAAAAACGTGAATGTGCGAGTGCTTGTTTTCATATAAAGAAACACAGACAGGATGCTCCAAAAATGATCACCGCTTATTTCTGGGGGTGGCTGAAGCCAGAGCTCTGGAGTGGACCAGATTTTTACGAACCCATGCATCCATTAGCTAAAGGTTTTGTTTGTTTGTTTGTTTAATGTTTATTTTTGAGAGAGAGAGAGTGCAGTGAGGGGCAGAGAGAGAGAGAGAGACAGGGAGACAGAGAATCTGAAGCAGGCTCTACACGGCCAGCAGAGAGCCTGATGTGGGGCTCGAACTCACGAACCGTGAGATCATGACCTGAGCTGAAGTCAGTCACTCAACCAACTGAGCCACCCAGGCGCCCCCCATGCATACATTATCTGAAGTAAATAGTCACTGGGACGCCTGGGTGGCTCAGTTGGGTAAGCGTCTGACTCTTGGTTTTGGCTCAGGTCATGATCTCAAGGTTCGTGGGTTCAGGCCCCACTTCGGGCTCTGCACACTGTCAGTGCAGAGCCTGGTTGGGATTTTCTCTCTCTCCCTAGCTCCCCGCCCCTCCCCCACTAATGCAGTCTCTGTCTCTCTCAAAAAATGAAAACTAAAAACTAAAATGAAATAAAATAGTCCTATATATAAACCACATTTTTTTACTGTTATTTTATTTTTACCTTTTAAGATTTTAAGTAATTTCTACACCCAACATGGGGCTCTAACTCATAACCCCGAGATCAAGAATCACGTGATGCATCAACAGAGCCAGTCAGGTGCCCCATATTTTTCTAACAGCCTTTATTTTGAATGAACTTGTTTTGCTCTTTAAAATTAAAAAAAAAATTTTGGGGGGGTGGGGGGGATGCCTGGGTGGCTCAGTCAGTTAAGTGTCTGACTCTTAAATTCAGCTCAGGTCATGATCTCATGGTTTGTGAGTTCGAGTCCTGAATTGGGCTCAGAGGCTGCTTGCGATTCTCTCTCACTAATTCTCTCTCCCCCCCCACCCCCGCCCCTCCCGTTTGTGTTTGCTCTCTCAAAATAAACTTAAAAACTATGTTTAAGATTAAGTAGCATATTATACTAGGGATTTAGTCCTCACCCATTAAATGTATTAGGATTATCAAAGATTGATGCAACTTTTGAGTAGTTTTCCTCATATCAATTAAAATAGGAATTCATTTCCCTTAAACTTTAACAATATTACAGAATTCAAATTTCCAAAGCTCTCTGGGGGCATACAAATAAAAAGCTGGCCTAAAACATAAAATCTACCTGAGAACCTCAAATACACCCATCTCACATCTTGAGACTCTTTTGCCTAAAAAGGAACAGATACTCTGTTTGGTTTCATAATTCCTTGCCTTACTCCCATTGTATCTTTATCTATTTATTTTTTTAAATGTTTATTTATTTTTTTGAGAGAGACAGTGTGAATGGGGGAGGGGCAGAGAGAGAGAGAGAGAGAGAGAGATAGAGAGAGAGAGAGGGAGACGCGGAATCCGAAACAGGCTCCAGGCTCTGAGCTGTCAGCACAGAGCCCAACGTGGGGCTCGAACTCACGAGCTGTGAGATCATGACCTGAGCCGAAGTTGAACGCTCAACCGACTGAGCCACCCAGGCGCCCCGTCCCATTGTATCTTTAAATCAACCTACATTTTCAAAGTCCAAGAACTAAAAATTCATTGCTCTCACAAAGAAAACAGGATCACTAATGGCTAAAGGAAACTACATGGAGTTAAAAGCTGCAATATGCAATATATACACTTATATGAGAAAAGAAACGCAGGGGCGCCTGGGTGGCTCAGTTGGTTAAGCATCCGACTTCGGCTCAGGTCATGATCTTGCGGTTCGTGAGTTCGAGCCCCGCGTCAGGCTCTATGCTGATGGTGCAGAGCCTGGAACCTGCTTTGGATTCTATGTCTCCCTCTCTCTATGCCCCCACTCCCCTGCTCATGTTCTGTCTCTCTCAAAAATACACATTTAATGGGGCGCCTGAGTGGCTCAGTTGGTTGAGCGTCTGACTTTGGCTCAGGTCATGATCTCACAGTTCGTGGGTTCGAGCCCCACATCAGGCTCTGTGCTGGACCACTTGCTTGGAGCCTGGAGCCTGCTTCGGATTCTGTGTCTCCTTCTCTCTCTGCCCCTCCCCCACTCATGCTTTGTCTCACTTTCTTTCTCAAAAATAAATAAATGTAAAAAAAAATTAAAAAAAAAATACACATTTAAAAAAAAGATCTAAATATATATATATATAAAAACTCCATATATTCATATATCTCACGGTTAGTGGGTTCAAGCCCCACGTCGGGCTCTGTGCTGACAGCTCAGAGCCTGGAGCCTGCTTCGGATTCTGTGTCTGTCTCTCTGCCCCTCCCCTGCTCTTGCTCTGTCTCTCTCTCAAAAATAAATAAACGTTAAAAAAAATGCAAATATTTGAATCAGGTGAGATAAGCAGCCTGCTTCCCCACGGTTCAGAAGGAAAACTTCCATTCCCAGTCTGTGGTCCAGACCGCACCTGTTGGGATACAGCCCCCGGGCCCAGTTCCTGGTGATGGAGGTGTGGGGGTGGGGGCAACACCTGAGCAGCCACAGGAACGAAGTGACAGGAATGAAGGGTGGGAGCTACACATACACCTCTCTCAGGGCATGATGGAAACATTCGTCTCTCAGGGTTCAATTCTTGCAAGTCAGGAAACCACTGGCCAGATGTGACTTAAGGATCTGACTCAAAAGAACTTCCAAATTCACAAACTCTTTGTCCAGAAGGCAGATCTCCTGACCTTCCCGGACTTTGTCAATGTACACAAATTACTCCGAGTGCGCCTACACTGCAGACGCAAAGCTCAAGCCTGTGTCTAGAAACAGGCCCAAGGAGGGGGGCGCCTGGGTGGCTCAGTCGGTTAAGCGGCCGACTTCGGCTCAGGTCATGATCTCACGGTCCGTGGGTTCGAGCCCCGCGTCAGGCTCTGTGCTGAAAGCTCAGAGCCTGGAGCCTGTTTCAGATTCTGTGTCTCCCTCTCTCTGACCCTCCCCCGTTCATGCTCTGTCTCTCTCTGTCTCAAAAATAAATAAATGTTAAAAAAAATTAAAAGTGATAAGCCTACTGTGAAAAAAAATCGCTCATATCCAGCGTTTATGTATGTGTAAGGGAGGGAAGCAAATTGTAAGGCATTTTTTTAGTTCAACAACACACACACACACACACAGACACAAATATCTACTCCTTTCAAAAACCATAAATATGTCAGTTAATTATTATTTCCATGGCAAGAAACTGTTTGGAAACAATCATTATTGAACACCTTTCGAGGTGGTACAAGTCTAAGTCCTGATATTGCATTTGAAATCACCCAAAAGGACAACTCTCTGAGTGTTACTACACCTGCTCATGGGAAGAAAAAAAGGAAACAAAAATTTTAATAGATGAAACAAGGAAATGTTCCCCCCCCACCCTGAAATTCACCCCTTTCTTGCCTCTTTGTAGAATTTTATACTTTCAAGATCTATGGATTAAATACATCTTATTAGAAAACGCAGGCTTAAAGAAGTTGAACACAGTTACAAACTCAGGTGAGGCAATCCAGACAGGACACAGCACCCAGGGAAGTTTCCAAAGAGGAACCGCCAACCAAAGGACTTCCCACAGGATGCCTGTGCTCAGGAAAGATACTGGGAGGAGAGGCAAAGGAATTTCATGCTATGTATTCCAGGTGGTTACTCTCGGCTTTCCTCTTACGTAAAATATTCACAGGCAAAAAAAAAAAAAAAAAAAAAAAAAAAGTCTTTAAAAAGAGCCATTCGCGGCTCTGTAGATAAACGATAAAATACTGCGTAATTTGCAATGCATCACGGAGAACAAACAGTTAATAATGATGCTGTGAACCGGAGAGGGAAGATGGCGTTTCGGATTGCAGGGAAGGATCTGGAAATTGAGGCATTTATTTCCAGTCTTACGAAGAGCTAGCCTGGGGGCACAGGGTCGTGGCTTTGAGACCCCACTCCCCGGACATCTGGAAAAGTGAGGGGAAAACGGGTACCCCCCCGCTCCCGGGAGAGAGGGACTGGGGACCCCACAGACCACAGCTCCTCCCGCGCACGGACCCCGGAGACCGAGGCGTGACCATCCCCCGATGACCCTCCGGTGGTCATCGCCCAGTCTACGGGAGGCGCGGCCGCGCACAGCGACGGGACAGGACGCCTGGGTCCCGGCTGCCGCCCGGCCCCGCGCTGCGTGCCGCGCCGACAGCGGACTCGGGTCCCCACACTCCGGGGGTCACGGCCGCGAGCTCAGGTCCCGCCGCCCCCGGTTCCCGACTCCCGGCCCCGCACACTCACCATCGCTCGGTTTCTGGGGTGCCGGGTCGCCCACCATCCGGCTGCCGCAGCCAGCGCAGGTCGCGGCGACCCAGGACGCGGCAGAACCTCCCGAAGCCCTTAAGGACGGCGCCAGCGGGTGCGAGGCTCGGATGCACAGCAGCCACCGCACACAGCCCTCGCCGTCCACGGCGTCCACGGCGTCCACGGCACGTCGCCCGCACGTACGGCTCCGGCGGCTCCCCTGATTGGACGGCTCGCACGGCCCCGCCCCCTCCCGCCTGAGCGACAGCGGGCCGGAGGTCACGTCTTTGAGCTGACCTTGCTTGGGCAGGGGGCTGCCGCCTGTTGTCTCCAAGGCCGTCGCTGGGAAGCGCGAGGCCGCCAGGCCATGCACGGAACCGTGACCCTTCCTCACAAGCGCACGCGCGAGTGACCTCACCATTCGTAAGCATGAGTCCGGTTCCATGTTGGTCTTTGATCATTTTCCAGCAGGGAGTCGTCTGCCCACCGCGCCCCCAACCCCCACTCCTTTGGTCTTCAAAGACTCTCGAAGCCTTGGGGCCACTGAGCTTGGTGGGAGGTTTGAGCCCCACAGTCCCAGACCAGGCCCGAAGTCTCAGGTGCTCGCATGTGAGAAAACCTTCCAGTGTAATTCCGTTGATACTTCTCTGTTCAAAGACGGAAGAAGGAAAACCGAAAGAACACTGCTCGATGGCAAAGAATAGACGGTAAAGGTCTAAAGAATGAACAAAGAGTCGGGACGGGGTCACCCAGGGGGCAGGACGGTGGTGAGCCCGGGAGGGAACCAACATGAGACTCTCACTGCGGCCCACAGTTAGGAATCTTCGTGATGCTTCCAGGGATGTGTGTATTACTAGCAAATCCTACCACAGAACATTTTGTACACGCTTTTCTCAGTCTGTTGGCTGATCAAAGACTTTAAGAAGTTATCAAGGTCGAAAAAGAACAATTTGTAAGTTTGTTTCTTATGTAATGGGGCAGTGTGAGTTTTCATTCTCAGGTGTGGCAGAAAAAAATTGGTAACAAGCCAACTGTCTATTTAGAAAGAATGAGTCACATAAACTCATCATATGGACTTTAAAAATCAAAGGGGGAGGCACGTGGCTGGCGCCAGGTCTTGATTTGGGCTCAGGTCATGATCTCACCACTTCTGGGTTCGAGCCCCACACTGCCAGTGAGGAGCCTGCTTGGGATTCTCTCTCTCTCTCTCTCTCTCTCTCTCTCTCTCTCTCTCTCTTGCCCTCCCCTGCTTGCGCACGTGTGAGCTGCTCGCTCGCTCTCTCTCATAAATAAGTAGATAAACTTAAAAAAAAACCTGCTTTGAGGGGCGCCTGGGTGGCTCAGTTGATTGAGCGTCTGACTTCGGCTCAGGTCATGATCTCACCGTTTGTGAGTTCGAGCTCTCTGTCGGGCTCTGTGCTGACAGCTCAGAGCCTGGAGCCTGCTTCCAATTCTGTGACTCCCTCTCTCGATGCCCCTCCCCTGCTCATGCTCTGTCTCTGCCTTTCTCTCAAATAAATAAACATTAAAATTTTTTTTAATAAAAAAAACCTGCTTAAAACAAAACAAAGGTATGATATGAAAAGATCAACGAGTATGCATTACTAGAACAAACATACTAACTATATTGTAATATATATATACACATATATGTACATATATATGTATATGTATATATATATATGTATATATATATGCCAGGTCACCTCTTCTATAACCTGTAGAGACAGGAGGATCCCCACCACCCTCCCATCCCCCTCACCAAGGTTTGGTTGAGTAGCAGAGACTAAAACACACCTACCAGAAACGTGTGAAAAGGTTTATTAACTTTCATAATGGAAGTTTCCGGGGAGGGCCAGGCAGGCCTTCTCAAGCAGGCGAGAAATGCCTTGAGAAAGCAAGGGAAGGAGACTGGTCTGGGTTTTATTCAGGTTGGTTGGAGGGTGGCTAGGGTGAGAGTTTGTGCTCATGGGCAGGGACTTACGGGATTGACTCTCTTGCCAGGGCCAAAGCTGAGCACCCAGGCTTTCTTATCACCTTATACAGATGTGGAGCCCAAAGGGTAGAGGGAGGGATATAAAATGTTAAGAGTCATCTGTCAGATAATGGGAAATATCTCTGCCCCAGGTGACTGGCACTTGTAAATTCCTAGGATAAGAGCACTAAAAGCCAGTCTTGGCCTAATATGTGGCCTTTAATTCTGTCCCTGACACAGGGCTCTTGAAACTATGTACATTTCTTTAAAAAATTTTAGTTTTGGATGTTTATGTTTTGAGAGAGAGAGAGAGAGAGAGAGAGAGAGAGAGAGAGAGAGAGAGAGAGAGAGAGACAGGGTGTGAGTGGGGGAGGGGCAGAGAAGGAGACACAGAATCTGAAGCAGACTCCAGGCTCTGAGCTGTCAGCACAGAGCCTGATGCGGGGCTCGAACTCATGGAACACGAGATCATGACCTGAGCCGAAGTCGGATGCCCAACTGACTGACACACCCGGGTGCCCGAAACTATGTAAATTTCTAAGTGATACCAGCACTGGGAGAAACTTTTGTTCCAATGAGGCGACTCTGGGTGGGCTCCTGGGTGGGGGCTGGTCGCCAGGAAGTCCAAGCCATGATTAGGAGCTTGGAATTTTTAGCCCAGCCCCCGTCCCCCAGGGAGGGGGGAGAAGCTGGAAATGGAGTTAATACTTGATCATGCCTACATTAGTAAGCCTCCATAAAATCCCAGTAATATGGGGTTTGGAGACTTTGGGGGTGGGGGACCCAACCATGTACTGGGAGGGTGACATACCCAAACTCTGTAGGGGCCCTCCAAGTACTCTCCCTACCTATCTCTTCACCTGGCCGTTCATTTGCATCTCTTATCATATCCTTTAATAAACTGGTTAAGTGTAAGTAAGTTTTCCCTGACTTCTGGAAGGTGCTCTAACAAATTAATTGAACCCAAGCAGGGGATTGTGAGAACCTCTGATTTGTAGCAGGACAGAAGTTGTGAGTAACCTTGTTGGGACTTGCTTCATGTGACCGGCATCTGAACTGGGATGGGAGAGGTCCTGTGGGACTGAGCACTTAACCTGTGGGATTGACACTACCTACAGGTGGATCGTGTCAAGACTGAGTTAAGTTACAGGACCCCCAGCTGCGTCACACGTTTGGTGACCAGAACTGTTGGAAGTAAAGTGTTCTCAGGAAATATAAAGGAGACACATAGGAGAAAAGAAGTGGGTTTTCTCTACTCCAGAATAATACTGGATTTTCCCAATGTATATCAGCAGTCAAATATTTAAAAGTGGAGTCAGAGACTTCTGGTTTCTTCTCTGGCACGTAAGAAGTTTAGAAGGTGACATTTCTATATTTACCAGGTAAAAGCAAGTAAGCTTAAAAAAAAAAGATCGGGGCGCCTGGGTGGCGCAGTCGGTTAAGCGTCCGACTTCAGCCAGGTCACGATCTCGCGGTCCGGAGTTCGAGCCCCGCGTCAGGCTCTGGGCTGATGGCTCAGAGCCTGGAGCCTGTTTCCGATTCTGTGTCTCCCTCTCTCTCTGCCCCTCCCCCCGTTCATGCTCTGTCTCTCTCTGTCCCAAAAATAAATAAACGTTGAAAAAAAAATTAAAAAAAAAAATCAATGATCAAAGAATTGAGGTCACAGTACAAACTGCCTTCTCCAAAAATAATAGCCATTTTGATACATTCCTACAATGGTCTGTTCTTAATAAGACCTGTCCTCCAAACACTGGTTTTTCAAGAATCACCTGGGGGGGCATGGAGGGAAATAACTAACTCCAGTTCTCCCCAGCCTTTCTGCCTGACCTAAGGTGAGGGTGTAGGGAACGGAGATAGACTTGCGAGGTTCACAGGTCATTTTTCACCGCTCACAGCCAACGTGTGGTGTGTTTTCCAAAACTATTTCCCCAACTCTCCAACACCAGCTGGGTGGCCTACAGTTCAATGCAGTTCTAACGCTAACCAGAGTTTGTATCAGACTCTACGGTTTAAGGGCACAGCCCACAAAAGGGCCACTGCATCAGCCACCAGCTGCAAAGGGCGTGGGAGGTTCTCTAGGTGCACTCCCATGTTTGTTAATTCAGCAGAAACACTACCGGAACTCACAGAAGCTCTTTATTTTTTATCCCTGATTTATTATAAAAGCTACAAGTCAGGAACAGCCCAATGGAAGGGGTGTGCAGGACGAAGTAGGTGGGGGAAGGTAGGGAACTCCCGTGCCTTCTCCGGATACAGCACCCTCCCAGCACATTGGTGTCTTCACCAGCTTAGCATCTCTCTGAATCCTGAGGTTTAAGGGTTTGGGTGAAGTTTCCGTGCGTAGCTAGGCACGACGGATGAAATCATTGGTGGTTGGTGAATCACTCAAACTGTAGCTCCTCCCCACTCCCTACAGGTTGGGGGCTGGGCTGAACGTTCTAAGATCCGAGCTGAGATCGAGATCTTAACTAACTGAGCCACCCCAGGTGCCCCAGACATTTTTCTTATTATACCAAAGGTCACAGCCCAGAGACATGTGATCATTAAAATAGTGACATCAAAACTATAGAACACTTCTCTCCACCCAAGACATTCCATCAGAAAACTCCCATTTAACAACCGTGGAATAAACAAAGAACTGTACATTTCAGAACTTAAAGAAGTCTCTATAGTACCCCCAAAGATAACATGGGTGACAAAAGGGCACCTGAGAGCATTTTAGCCTTTGGCAGCTACAACAGAGAGTAAACACAACCTAAACCCTACTCAGATAAACACAAACCCTTACACCAAAGGCCTATTTACCTCAGTTCCTTTTCCACAGTACATCGTGCCTGGCATTGAACAACAACATTATTAAAATACACAGTTTGAAGAGATTATACAAGTAAAAGAACTCGACTCAGATGTAGCAGATATGTTACAATTATTAGACCAGAGACATAAAGCAACCATGATTAATATGCTAAGCACTTTTGGGGTGACTGGGTGGTTCAGTCGGTTAAGTGTCCGACTCTTGGTTTTGGCTCAGGTCATGATTTCATGGTTCGTGAGTTCGAGGCCTGCATCGGGCCCTGTGCTGACAGGGTAGAGCCTACTTGGGATTCTCTCTCTCCCCCCACCCCCGCCCCTCCCCTGCTAGCTCTGTCTCTCAAAAAATAAATTAAGGGGCGCCTAGGTGGCTCAGTTGGTTAAGCATCTGACTTTGGCTCGAGTCATGATCTCACAGCTCATGAGTTTGTGCCCTGCCTCAGATTCTGTGCTGACAGTTCAGAGCCTGGAGCCTGCTGCAGATTCTGTGTCTCCCTCTCTCTCTCTGTCTCTCCCTCACTCATGCTCTGTCTCTCTCTCTCTCAAAAATAAACATTAAAAATTTAAATTAAAAAATTAATTAATTAATTTAAAAGATTAGGGGTGCCTGGGTGGCTCAGTAGGTTAAGTGTCTGACTGCAGCCCAGATCATGAACTCATGGTTCATGAGTTTGAGCCCTG